GGGCCCAGCCACCCCTTCCCTGGGAGGCCTTGGATAGGGACTTCGCTTCATTGGGCCTCAGTTTCTTTCTTTTCCTTTTTTATTATCGAATGCACATTTATTGGGGCGACACTGGTTAACAAAATTATACACATTTCAGGTGCACAACTTGGCAACTCATCATCTGTACACTGCATGGTGGGGTTACCTTCTCCAGCCAAGTCTCCTAGCGTCACCATTTACCCCCCCCCCCCCCCCCCATGCTCTCCTCTGCCTCCCTCCAACCGCCTTCTCCCGGGCAACCACCACACTGTTGCACGTGTCCGAGAGTTTTGTCTCTTTTTCTTTTTTGCTCAGCCCCTCTGCCACCACCCCTGACAACCAACATGAGACTCCCACGACTGTCGGCCTGCTCTCTATCTGTAAGTCTGTCCCCATTGCCCTTGTTAGTTCACTTTGTTCATTAGATTTCACATATGAGTGAAATCACATGGTATTTGTCTTTCTCAGACTGGCTTTTTCACATGGTATAATGCTCCCAGGTCCATCCATTCTGTAGCAAAGGGTCAGATTTCCTTAGTTTTCACAGCTGAGTAGTATTCCACTGTGTAAATGCTCCACAGGGTTTTTATCCATTCATCTACTGAGGGACACTTGGGCTGCTCCCAGATCTTGGCGATTGTAAATAACACTGCAATGAACATAAGTATGCTTATGTTCTTTCAAATTAGTGTTTCTGGATAAATTCCCAGAAGTGGAATCACTGGGTCATAAGGCAGTTCCATTTTACATTTTTTGTGATATCTCCATACTGCTTCTACAGTGGCTCTCCCACCAACAGTGAGTACACAGGGCTTCCTTTTCTCCGCATCCTCGCCAGCACTTTTTTGTTGATTTACTGCTGACAGCCATTCTGACAGGTGTGAGGTGATAACTCACTGTGGTTTTAATTTGCATTTATCTGATGATTAGTGACATTGAGCACCTCTGCATACATCTATTGGCCATCTGTGTGTCTCCTGTGGAGAAGTGTCTATTCAGGGCCTTCGTGGGCCTCAGTTTCTTCATCTGTGAAATGGGGTAGTGATTCCTGCCCTACTGACATCATTAAACAAGGGAATGGAAGTGAAAGAGACCCATATCCAAGATTTGTGGTTATTGTCATTAGCCACCACTGTCTCCTCTCTTCCTTTCTCAGGGGACTGCAGGGAAGTTCTTCCAGTGCAGGGTGGGGGCATCTCTGGGAGCAATACAACCACCCACACTCTGCCTTTTATAGGGAGAAGCACAAAAAGGTTCACTGGGAGATGTATCAGGTCCTGGGAGGTGGGGAGGAGGAGCAGTTCATGACCCCTCCCCTGAGAAATTATTCCCAACATGTCCCTCCCTGCGAAGAGGCCCTCACCCTTCCTCTGTACTCCCAGGGCTTTCCCAGGCTCAGAACCTTTCCCATGGGTTTGTGATTGTTTATTTATTTTAAACTCTTTGGGGGCAGAGGCTGGGCCTCTCACCTCTTTGTCCCCAGAGGTTAAAGAGGATTGCTATCTTACTAAATGAATGAATCAATGAATTCGGTCACTAATTTGGGCGATGGGGCTTGGTCAGAGTGGCCTCCCCAGGCTTAGCTCCTTACTTCTGCCTCTCTGGCTGTTCGCTGGTCAATAGCTTCTCCCCCTTCAGCTTCCACCCCAACACCCATCTCACACACTTACTCCCCATTTACTCCCCTGGAACCCTTCTCTGGGTGAGGAGTTTCTTCTAGGGATGATTAGAGTTGAAATCTTAGGCTCTAACATGGACACTGTCACCAACCTTTCCCCACAAGGTGATCAAAGTGATCTAAAAATGCACATTGGACCACGTAAATCTCCTTCTTAAAGCCTGGAGGACTTCCCCTTGCATTTAAAATAAAATCCAGGCTTCTTCCTAGGACCTACAGGGCCCATCACCAAGATCCTGGGCCCCTTCCCATCTTTCTCACCACACTCCTTCAAGGTCATCCCAGCCAGAGCACTGGCTTTTTCTACTCAATGGGCTAAGTTTAGCCCTGCCTCAGGGCCTTTGCACTCACTGTTTCCTTTGTATGGCTGGCTCCTTCTCCTTGTTCAAATCTTATCTTAAAAATCTTTTCCTCACTAGGTGATCCTTGACCACCGATCCAATACTGACTTCTTTAGATGTATTTAATTCCTTCCCTTATCACTTTAAACACATTAAATATACATATATATTTTTTGTTCTCTGATAACTGCATGAGATAAAATTCACAGGGACCAAAATCTGGGGCTCATTGTTTTGGCAGACTCTCACTCACGGTTGCTTATTTCCTTGTTCAGTGTATAGTCTGAAGCATGGACTCCTGCTCAGATAGCTTTATTTATGAGAATACTGGATGCCTGAGTTGGAGGTTAGTCCCTCCTGAGAGGATGTATCTCTATCTCAACCCTCAGGCTGATAGGAGCTTGGGTTCATTGTAGTTCATTATCGCCTTGGGTTTTTCTGCTCCCCATGGTGGAGAGCCACGCCCCGTCCCACGCCTGATGCTTTCCCTCCATTTTCTGTCGCTGTACTTGTGCCTGTCTGTATTGGGCATCTGTTATATTTTACCCAGCCTTTGTAGGTGGTTTGTATTGGAAGGTTGCAGGCATCCACTTCATCCTATTATAAGAAATGGAAGTCCCTCAGGCACTCTCCGACATAGTCCTCACATTCACTGGCCTCACAGCACTTGTCACTACTTGAAATGACAAGAGTCACTTGCTCCCTGGTTTCCTGTCTGGCTCTTTCCACGAGGGCAGGAACTGGCCTGCCCTGCTCACTGCTGCCTTGGGCCCCTGGAACAGTTCCTGGCTCTGATCACAAGTATTTGCAGGTAGAGAGCTTGGGTTCAGATCCCAGCTCGGCAACTGGGAGAGTTAACCAGCCCCTGTGCACTCAGTTTCCTCATTTCTACAATAGGAGTAACTTTTCCCTTAGCGGAGTTTGTGGAGATGAAATCAGATTTGTTAAGGACTCTCACATCACCACCAGAAACTGAGTACATGGTAGTTACTATGTCTGAGGCCCTTCTGGGGCCAATCTTGCCCTATCCCGCCCATCTCCTATAGGTCCCAGCTCTTCCCACCTTCCCCCCAGGTTCTACCAATTGGAAATCAGGGCTCCATCCTTCCCATAGGAGTCCAAGAGCTGAGTGGTCCTCCCCAACCTCACAAACACAAAGGGTGAAGCTCCTGGCCTCCAACACATGTCAGGTCTGCTTGGCCTCTGTGTCATTCACAGTCCCTCCTCCCTGCCTCATGGAAAGGCCTTGGGCCTGGTGGGAGGTGAGAGGTAGGAGGTAGGAGGTGAGAGAAAGGTGCTTCTCTGTGTAGGGACATGTGGGCAGAAAGCCCAGGAAGAGGGCGCTGAGCGGGAGGTCAGGGAGGCTGCGGAGGGTGGTGCTGCCGAGTGCTTACCTGCATCCTGACTCCGCCACTCACCCTGCTGGTCTTGGAAAAGATGCTTAACTGCTCAGTTTCCCCAGCTGTGATATGGGATAGTACGAGTGCCTACTTCATAGAACTGTCATAAGGATAAGTTAATACATGTAAAGTCCTTAGAACTGAGTCTGAGATTTATGTGCTGATTTTTTTTAATGTCTATTTTACTCACTGTTGAGTTTCCAACACCTTGCAGAGTGCTGGGCACATAGTAAGTACTCAGTAAATGGATGGATGCATGGATGGATAGATCAGTCAGAGAAATATGTGCAGTGGACAACATAGATGTGCCCTCTAAATTTTCTTGACAACCCTAACAGAATTTGGACAGAGCCTGCCACATCATAGACTCCTACAATGCTGCGACCAGTGGGTTCTGAGAGGTCTTCTCAGGCAGGAGCGGGTACCACAGTCCCTAGGGATCTTTCGACGCCTGGTCTTCCTTCCCTTGTGGGGACAGACTCTGGTCACCTTGGCTGGGGGTGGGGGGCCCCTGAGTGCGGATTCTGACAGAACTGCCAGTTGACAATCCCTGAACTAATCCACTAATCTCACACTGCAGATAAGGCAGCTGTGCAAGGTCATACAGGAGCAGTGAAAGAGTCGAGTCCCAAGCTCAGGTCTCTGAAGTCTTGGTCACGTTCCCCACAGACAGTCTGCTTCCCCACACCCTCTCTGCTGCTGGCTGTAGCAGCTCAACTATTCAAAGTCTCCTTGTTTTCTTTTAATAAAAAGGGTGCCCCATGCTCAGGACACGGGGAAGACTCGAAGAACCCAGCGGCAGAAATGCTACGGAGGGGGAGACGGACCAGGCCTAGGAGGCAGCAGAACCATCTCTTCGTTTCTACGTCCTCTTAAATCACCCTTCACCACTCAGAACCTCCCACCTCCATTCCTATTTTTTAAATTACCTCTTTTTATTGTAAAATATTTCTCATACGGAGAGAACTATAAACACTAATGCAATGAACAGCCATGTGTCTTCCACCCAGCTTTGTTAAATCATAATGTTTTGCCATATTTGCTCCAGATTTATATTTTTTTTTAAGAAACAGAACATTATAGATACAAAGCAAACCCCTGTCTGTTCCTCCTGAGTCTCATTCTCCTCCTGCCTCCCTCCCCAGGGGGTAACCACCCTCCAGGATTTAGAGTCTACTCTTCCCACACAAGTTTCATGACAGGCGACATACTCGGAAGCACCATGTTGTGTGGGTTTGCACACTTCTAACACTAGAGGAATCGTGTCCTGTATGTAGGCTTCTGCACCTTGAGCGTTGTGTTCAGCATGTTGTTGGTGCTCGCCTCCTTGTTCCACGTGGCCCTGTGCCATCTGCACTGAACGAAGACACATGCCTCGGCTTAGCCCTCATTCCCATAGGCTGTGATAAGCACCCTGCACGTATCTCCTTGTGCACACTCGCGAGGGTTTCTCCGTGACATAGAGCTAGGAATGGAATTGCTAGATGACAGGCCTCTCACTTTTCTGTTGTTGCATCATAAATCACCCCAAAATTTTTAGTGGCTTAAAAAAAATCCCTACTCTTCTTCAGAAGTGTGTCTGTGGTTCCCTGTCTTTGGACACATAAGAACTGGAGGCAAAGAAATGTGGACTTGGAGAAGTCTGGGGCCAGGTGTTCCCTGCAGGCTCAAGATCAACCATCTCACATAGAAGAAGAGAAAAAAAAATCCCTGCTCTGGCTGCTGTGGCTCAGTGGATTGAGTGCCAGTCTATGAACTGAAGGGTCACTGGCTGGATTCCCAGTCAAGGCACACGCCTGGGTCGCACTCCAGGTCCCTGATGGGGGGAGGGATGTGCAAGAGGCAACCACACATTGAACTTTCTCTCTCTTCTTCTTTTTCTAAAAATAAATAAATGAAATCTTTAAAAAAAATTCCCTTTGTTAGCTCACAATTCTGTGGATTAGGAATTTAAGCCAGGCATGGTGGCCACTGCTTGCTTGTTTTCCACAATGTCTGGGGTCTCAGCGTGGATATCGTGAACACCTGAGACAGTTCAACTGGGATCATCTGGGTGGGGCCTCGGTTCCAGCTGTCAGAGGTGATCCTCAGTTTCCTTCCGGTGGCCTTTCCCTGTGGCTACCTTTGGCTTCCACACAACACGGTGGTCTCGGGATTCCAAAGGACAAGCCACACAGTGCTTAGTAAGTCTCTGCTTGCCTTGCTCATGCTGATAACTCACTGACCAAAACTCACATGGCCGAGGCCGGAGTTTAGCGTGGGAGGGTATGGGCATTGGGAAGTGTGGTCACTGGGGAAAGCAGATATGGAAGTCTCCCACAATAGGGTACGGCACCATTCATTTTATGAGGTATTGTCAAAGGCTCACCAAAGGTAGCATCAAGTTACAATCTCCCAGCCCTGGTGCAGTCCCCTCCCAAAGGTGTCTGGGTTGCTCTGCATCCACACCAACACATGGGTATTGCCAAACTGTTAATAATGTGAGACAGTGACACATTACTACTTAATTACATTATCCTGATTACCTGTGGGGCTGATTCTATTCCTCCAGCTCTGTTGAGATATAATTGGCATATAACCTTGTATAAGTTAAAGGTATACAATATGTTGAGGATTGGTTATTTTTTCCTCTTTATTGATCGTTTATCTGCATTTCCTCTTCCATGAATTGCCTGTTCCTATCTTTTGCCCATTCATCTGTTAAGTTCTTTTTTTTTTCTTTCTGCCATATTCATTTGTAATTGTTTGTATCTTTTGGATCCCCAATTCTTAAATGACCATGGAGGGAATGTCTTCTCATTCTGAAGAGAAGGCTGTCGCTGAGGACCCTGGGGCAGCAACTCGGGTGGGGAGTTTGGGACACTAAGTTTCCTTGGGCTATGCCTCTGAATGGCCTCAGCAGCTGTCCTGCCCTCCGGGTGTCCCCGTCAGAGTTAGAGTGCAGATGGGGGGCCCTGGGACTGACTCCCTGTCCCTGTTCACATGGCCCACAGCCCTTGGCCTTCCTGCCTTCCCTTCCCATCACTTCCACAGGCATCCTTTGTACCCAGCAGACAAGGCCACCATAGCACAGCCCCCCCTGGAAAACTGAACAACGTCAGAGCAGGGCAAGGTGAAAGAGACTGCAGCTCCGAGGACCGGGAGATCTTTGTGTCCTCTGAGTCTCTGCACATCCTGCGCCCTGAACATTGATCCGGAATGCGCCCTGCACTGCCTGCCTCTGGGCCTTCGCTGTTCCCATGGCCTCCACACCCCACCTCAAAGCCCCTCCATGAAACCCTCCCATAGGAGGTTCTCCTGCCCCACGCTGGACTCGATCTGTCCCTCTTCTGACACTGCGGAGCACTTTCTTTGTACTGTTTCTCACCTTTTACAGACCCGAATGTGAGTTCCAGACAGGACAAGATTGCTCAACAGACAGACTGAGTGGTTTAGGGTGCCCCCAAAACAAAACCCAAAGCCCCAAGTCAGCTTTGATGACTATAACCAGGATTTTGCAAAAGAAAATCTAGAAAGAAGTGAGGCTAAGTTAGCAAACAGCACTGAGATGTCCAATTCGACAGCCAGTAGCCACCTGAGGCTATTTCAATGTAGATTTAGACTAAATTAAATGAAAAGTTCACCTTCTCAGTCACACCAGCCACAATTTCCAGTGCTTAACAGCCACCTGTGGTCACTGCCGCCCTACAGTCCAGTGCAGACACAGAACATTGCTGCCATTGCAGAAGGTCTATTGGACGGTGCTGATCTGTATTAAGTGTATGTTTTACAGATTAATGGTGTTTCCGTTTTGAAACACCTCTGCCAGGGGAGAAACAAAAATCTCTTCATTATTTTGGTTTCCAAAGGTCAGCCACTACTTTGCTGTGTGACCTTGAGAAAGGTCACCCTCTGGGCCTCAGCTTGCTCATCTGTAAAATGAGGGAGCTGATGTAGCAGGCCCTTCTGTCTCCGACCCAGTCAGGTGCCACCCAGGGAACAGTTATTTGTGTCCTGGCAGGAAGAGCACCAGGAGGGGTGAAGAGGGGAGAGAGGACGAGAGGAGAGAGGGGGAGGGAGGGAGGGAGGGAGGAAGGAGGAGATCATTAATGACTCCCAGATTCTTGCCTTTGATCAGGTAGTCTGGAGTGAGGTGAGGCCAGGAGATGGGGTAGCGGTAGCGGGAGGAAGAGAGGAAGCAGAGGCCAGATGAGGGGTCAGGTGAGAGGCAGCTGACCGCGCTGGAATGGGGGAGGTCCTCCATTCTGCTTCTTTTAACCTGGGAAAGAGCTGAGCCCTGCCCAGGGGCCCTCCCCTCCCACCCCTCCAGTATTCTAAAGGGGATCTCAGTGGACAGACTGGATCTCCCCACTCAATCCCACCACCAGCTCTCCAGTCCTGGCTGCCATACAGCAAACGAAAAGGCAAAGTGAGGGCTGATGGGCCAGGAGGAGAACAAAAATTGGGCACCGTGGTGGAGCCCCGGCTGCCTCCCATCCAGCCTGTGCAGGACGTGGCCTGCTGAGGGGACTGCACTCTGAAGTAGGAAAGGGGTAGCCTTTGCTGAGCTGCTGGCTGTGGGGACTGAAGCATATAACTGGGCCGGTGACCAGGAGCTGGAAATATTCTTCTATCTTTGGGCTGACGATAGGGCTTTCCAGCGGGGAGACAGACCCGGAGCTGGGACCGGGTTTCCAGTCCTAATTTCTTGGATAAGTTATTTAGCCTTTCAAGGCCTCGGTCAGCTTCCTCACCTGTAAAGTGGGACCCGGGACACAATAACAAATGCAAAGATGTAAGGCCAGCCCTGTGCGGAGATGCCGCACACACATCTGGGGGCATTTGGGTTTTGGAGCCACCTGAAATCTGAGCTTGTACCCCTGCAGGGGACCCTGTGTATGTTGCCCTGACAGTCACCCTCAACCCTGGGCTCTGACTGTACAGTGGGGAGAGGGCTGGGGCCCTTTGATCTCATAGACCTGAAACCACAACAGCATCTCTGGAGGGCTGGGAGGGTGTCTGGGGAGGGGGCACTGGCATCTGAGGCCCCTTGGCTCACACCCAGGAGTCAAAGGTAAGCTTCAAAGGCCGGGCTGTGTTAATGTGGCTTCCTTTGTACCTGCTCAAGGAAGGAAAACAAGCCAGTGCCCCCTCCTGCCCCAGGATGGCAACTCAGATCCCGGAGATACTCCCTGCCCCCTTCATGCCCCAGTACAGCTAGTCTGACCTCCCCAACTGCAGGACTTTTTCTCATCAAAGCAGCGATGGAGGTGCTGATTAGAGTGGGCCCTGCCCAGCTCAGGCCGCCCTGGCCCTGGTGGTTATGGTGACGTGGCCGGGGGTGGGGGGGGAGGCGAGGGAATGAGAGGGAAGGAAGCCCAGGAACTGCAGCTTAGTCAGAGGGGGAGCACAGGCAGTGAAGCAGAGAGGTTTTGAGAACTAGGAAATTGGCTGGGAGTGGTGGTAGAAAGGTGCCTGCCGGGGCCTACGGGTGGGGGAGGTTGAGAGGGACTTCCCTTCACCCCCTGCCCTCCTCCAGCTCTCAGAGGAGGCTGCTCACCTGTCACCAGACCTGAGAGGTCCCTCCCCTCTTCTTCCTTGGCTGAACGGACCTCACCCTGGCCAGCATGGAGTGGGGGTGGGGGGGCCTGTCCAGCTCCCCTGCCCAAGTGGCCAGCCGTGCCAGCATCTCGGAGTCCCCACAGATGCCCTGGCTGGGCTCCAGCAAGGAAGAGGGGTGAAAGGAAGGTGAGCACCTCAGCCCCCCCCACTCGGCCCCCACAGTGCGGCCAGAGCCATTCCAGTGGAACAGGGCTGGGGCAGGAGGCGGCTGCAAGATGAATGAAGTACTTATTCTTCTGTCAAGGTACCCACACCTTGGCCTGAAATTCCGGGGCCTCAACCATGTGGCTAAACTCTGCCCCTTCAGGAAAAGCCTCCCACTGCCTGGTCCCCTGCCCTCACCCCTCCAGCAGAAGTTTCAAAAGTCTGAAACTTGGACAACTAGGATTCTCTTGGGATTGGTTTGCAGAGCTTAGATTCCCAGGTGCCTCTCCCAGGAAATGGCCCAGGTATAAATTCATTCATTCATTCGGCAACTTTTTATTAATCATCTCCACGTGTCAGGCACTCTCACCACGAGTCTACCATTTACACACAATTATCCCCATTTTATGAGTGAGGAAACTGACTGTCAAGGCGTTAGGAGACTTGTCCAAGATCGCAGAGACGCAGGGTCGGTGGACCGGCCGGCGCTCAGGGCCCCACTGTGTTGCCTGCATGTTGTCGTCTTGGCTCTGCTGTGAGACCTGAGTGAGCCCTGTTCTCGGGATGCAGTGATAGTGTTGTGGTCATTGTCTGGGCCACACTTCCTCATCAGCAAAGTGAGGTTGAGGGACTGGCTACGTGGTTCTTTGGACCCTGGCTGCACATTTTAAAAACACATTAGGTCCTCTACTAACATCACTTTGTCATAATGTTGACGAACTGCCTAGGAACGTAACTCTTGTGTATACCCATTAGCCTACGGCGACACTGGTTTTGTTAGACATTGTTTTGCTACAATTCCAGAAGCCAATCCATGTTAAGTGAGGTACTCAGGCTGCCTCCCCCACCTCCTACCTAGCCCAAGAAATTCCGATTTAATTGGCCTGGGCTGAGCTGCAGGTATCAGCATCCTTGGGTGATTTAGGGGAGTGGTTAGGGCTGAGA